AATATCTTTTTTTCTGTATTCCACAGTAGAAAGAAACTCATACAGCTTTGAAATAACCTGAACATGAGTAAATGAAGGCAGAATTAAAATTTTTGGGTGAACTTATCTCTTTATGGTAACATATAGTCGTACTCATTAATAGGCTTCCATGATTTGTCCTTTTGTGAAATCTGACATGTCTCCCATTTCACCGAGTGCTTGTATCGACCACTGCTGAACACAGCTTTTACTACACTGAAAGACAAACTAGAGAATATAGACAATGAAAATATAATCACAACGTTTGTTTTTGCTCTAAAACCTTGTGTTAACTCCTAGGGCTGGGACAATAAATCGATGCATCGCGAATCGAGAAATGATTCTGCATCGATTCTGAGATTGTAGAAGGCATCGCTATTCTCTCTTGAATCGATTCTGAGCTTAGTTTTTAACAGCAGATGGCACTGCGTGCTTTAGAAATAGCCGTATTCTGCTTGCATCCAGTTCCTTACACGCGCACCATTTGAACCTCAAATAATCATTCATAAAGTTCGAAAAAGTTGAAGCGAATTACAAGGATGTTCACAGTGGGCTGTGTTTACATTAATCTTGCATCATAAAAGCATAAAAGCCGATGTGCAAGTACATTTAACCACTTACAGTACATTACCGAACGCACAAGCGCTCTTCTTCGTGAGCATTTGAGTGTGAGGTTAAAAACTAGCCTAGAGCGCCATCTGCGGTTAAAAACTTACAGTACATTACTCAGCCGAACGCACAAGCGCTCTTCTTCGTGAGCATTTGAGTGTGAGGTTAAAAACTAGCCTAGAGCGCCATCTGCAGTTAAAAACTAAGCTCAGAATCGATTCGAGAGTGAATCACGATGCATTCCGAAAATCTCAGAATCGATCCACGAATCGCGATGCATCGATTTATTGTCCCAGCCCTATTAACTCCTGTAATAATGGGCGTTCACATTATTTTGTCCAACCCCTGTATGTTAACGATGCTTTTCAGTATTGAAGAAAATAAATGTATGTTTATAATTAACACATCAGCTCTGTCTGCCATCTTGTTTGCAGTTTTTCCACTGAGCTTGTGCATTCACCACAAAACCTTCATGCAAGGCTGTTTGGAAACAAAACAAGATCTCAGAAGGCAACATATTTCACTTTCTATCTTATCCTAAGTTAATGTCTGACCCTTCATTTCTTTTAACTGAAATCTATTTCTCTTTCTGATGTGTTTGTGGAGCACAGAAGTGCAGCGGTTTATAAAAGCTGTGTAAACTCCGTAAAACACATCAGTCCCATTATCAAGAGACAACAGTGGACTGATGCTGCGCCGTCCCTCTCGTACCGTTCTGGGAAATTGAAGCGATAAATTCTTTCCTCCTCAGACTCTCTTTTTCCATCTCTGTTTCAGTCCCTGTGATCTCTCTGTTATTTGTAGAACAAATACGATTGTTGTATGTGGCTGAGAGCTTGTAGAGCTGTTGGCAGTACAGAAGCCCAGATCCCCTCCAGTCTGGTGCTGGAGTCCATCAGGATCAACTGAGATTTCAGCAGATGTAAGTCACAAGAGCTTAGTGAAGAGATCAGACCAGTTTTGGGTCAGGTTTTTAAAATTATTTATTTAAACTCTAATACCAATAGAAATAATCATTTTTTTATGCTTATGCCTTTTTAATATAATTGTGATTTTGGAGTGAAATATGGCTCAGAAATGTTCTCGACAGGTTACGTGAGATTCACCCTGTGAGAACTATCTCCTATTTTTGGGATTATCCTGGATTGTACTGCTTGTGGGACATACAATTTAAACCACCCTTGGATGATTGAATGTAGGTCTGAGTCATATTATATTAGCATCTCCTCCTCTCTAAAGGGTTAGTATATTTTAATCTCTGGTTGTATAAAGGAATAATTAGGGAGATATAAGTCAATATACTTTTTGATGACCCAGACTGCACTGTGGGAAGTCATTTTCTTATTCTGTATTTTTCTTAAAAATATAAATACCTTTAAAATGTTCAGTTTACTTGAGAAGCAAAACAGTGATATTAATTTTGTTGGATTTTTTAAAAACACGTTCAAAATAGTTTTCTATGAAACCAAAACTTTATATTGTACCCAGTTTGGCTTCTAAATCTTGTTTTAAGGATGTTTAGATATTTTTTTTACTGGACGACAAGCCAAACATATTGATTAATATGACTTTAGTAATGATTCTAGGCATTTCATGATCATTTTTTTAACTGCAGATATTTTTAATCACTTCTGATGCTCTTTTATAAAATATTCAACTTTTTGGATCAGTTTTAATTGGGCTCATAGACATTGAATTATATATTTTTTGGCATTATATGTGGGGTGTTTTACAAGTCTATTCAGAGCTCAAATATTGCCAATGACAATTAATTTGTAGGTAGATGAAAAGCACATTGGCAGGTTTTCTGCTTTCTAATTTCAGTCATTTATTTTTAACTAATGAGTTTATGATGCTTAGCAGCAGTCTGGTCTTGTTCAGGTACAGTATGACAGTTCTAGACTGCAGAGATAATGAACACAGATGGAATTGATGCCATTCAGACAGACTGCGGTGTGCTGTGTGACACGAAAGAGGGGCTGATGTAGGGTATGCAGGTTCGAATCTGGCCTGCGTCATATCCTCATGTCATTTCCTTGTTTCTCCCTACTTAATGACATAAAACAGATTGAGATACAGTATTCAAATCCAATGTGTTTTTGTGCCAGTGTTCGAAACACTTTGCAGCCGTCAGTATAGTAGATTACATTTTGTTTCTTTGCAGAGGCCATACAATGAAAAACTCAAAAGTTAACAAGATGATTTATTCATTGACAGTCACCCTGATGAGTAGACTGCACCGAGTCTAATGCATTTACTTATTTTCTTTAACAGTATATAAACATACACAAAAAAGCTATTGAGTAATTTTGTTTTTGACTGTTTTATTAGATGAACACTATAGGCATAAGGATAACGTGTTATTTTTAATGTGTGATTCTGACTGAAATTCATTTCTGGCTTAATGATCATGTGTTCAGTCATGTAGAGAGGAAAATGCAACATCTGCGGTCATGTTCTTGAAATATCTCTATTTTGTGAAAGAAAAGATACTTAAGATGTAGCTGTGTTTATATAGCAAAGCATATCCACTTATTGAGAGCAGCAGAAGCCTGCTTGGTTTCTTTTAATAACAATATGCTTCATATTGTTATTTTTAGTTCCATACATTATTTTATTACACAAAGTAACTTAAGTTAACAAAGAAAAATTACAATGTTTATTTAAAGCTAGCCTGTTTAGCCACTTGTTCGCCAGGTCTATGTGTTCTTAAATATATTAGCTTAAAAATTAAAGGTTTTCAGATAGGAGTTTAGTACTCTCAGTTTAACACAGCTGACCATATTTAAATCCATTCTACAGCATTCTGCACAATTTTCCCACAATCAGCATAAAACGTCGGAAAAAAGACAGCAGATTTATAGGTGTAGGAAAAAGTGTATTACGAAGTTGTATTTTTTATTTTTCATTTTTACTTACTGCAGTGGAAATCTGTCAAAATCATATCTATGTCCAAAATCAAACACCATATTTTTTTTTAAAATAATGAAAAAATGACAGTTCTAGTGATTTTTTTTTTGCATTGAAGCATTATTTTTATAAAACAATTATGCATATTTTCAACCCAAACTTTAATTGTAAATTCTCTGTAAAAACTAACTAAATGAATGAATGAATGAATGAATGAATGAATAAATAAAAAGTTATTACTGTTACTAATTTTAAAATGTTTACTTAATGCTGATTTTTTTTTTTTTTTTTTTTGGTTTAGGGGTGTGGTTTGACAATAACCTGTTTTTGT